CCTATACACTTTGGAACTCCCTGCTGATTTGAACCAGGCAGCCGCCTTCACTGCACACTTTTCTTGCACCTGCCTAAAACATTCTTTGTTTAGACAAGCCTACACAGACATATATAAGGTTAATGCATTTCAATTTTTGTTTACTTAATTTTAATTCTCTTCAAATGTCCTTCGTTGTTTTTAACACTCTTCCGTGTTGATGCTAATATTTCTTGTAAACCGCTAAGAGGTTTTACTACGGTGAAGCTGCATATGCGTCTTGTCAAATGGAAACCATAAAGAAAAAAATATCTAAGCGACTGCTGCTTGCAGAAAGCCCAAGTCGTCTTCCCAAATCCCAAATCAATTGTGCTGTGGGCTCCTTAAAATAGAGATTGCAAACATGGGAGTCATGGTGTGGATCACAGCCCTGGGTGATGGTGGTGGGACAGGAGGCAGATAAGAAGTTTAAAATCCCTATCTGCATCAGGGCCCAGATCAATATGAACCTCCACACCTGCATTATTATTATTATTATTATTATTAGCCAAATAAATTTTGTGATTCGCATCTTGTCTATGACCCTGAAACTCTGGAGAGTAGGACAAATATCTGCTTCTGAAAAGCAGGTGATCACAACAGGTGTTATGCAAAATCCTCTTGGGTGCCTGCAACACTACAGGTTTATTATTTATATTTTATTTTGCATTTATATCCAAGAAGCTCAAGGTGGTACTTCACCTCTGCAATGAATACTCACAACCCCCCTGTGAGGTGGTCTTCTACTTCTTCTTTGGCGATCACTCGTAGCCAAGTAAGATTGTCTTCCACGAACATGGTTTTAACAGTGAGTCCGTAAGTGACTGTGGAGGCCAATTCTGGCTGCACACGTCCTTCCACAGAGGGGACATTGGTTTCCGGGTGGGAGTTGATCACGGCGTGGGTTTGCCAAGCGTGCCTTCCTCTTATCATGTTCCTCCCTTTCGTCCTGAATTCCAGCATCTTCAAAGCCCATGACACCTTTGGTAAAGGCTATTCTCCAATTGGAGCACTCACAAGTCAGTGTTTCCCAGTTGTCAGTGTTTATACTATTTTTTTTAGGTTTGCCTTGAGAGAGTGGATGCCGATGAAGATATTAACGAAAAATTGTTTTATTCTCAGCTGGATACCATCCTATCAGAGACGCCTAAGAAGGATAAAATTATCCTCTTGGGTGATTTTAATGCAAGAATTGGGCAAGATTTCTGTCTGTGGCCCCTGTGAGGTTGGTTAGGCTAAGAGGCAGTGGCTGGCCCAAGGTCACCCAGCAAAATTTATTGCCAAGTAGGATTTTGAACCCAGGTCTCCCAGGTCCTAGTCCAACACTCTAAGCATGATGCTGTGCTCCGCAGGCATATTAAGCCTAAAATGGAAGACATTGGGAGGTGATCTTGCACAGCCTCCGGGCACCTCCAGATTATCAGTATTTGGCAAGAGAGAATCAAGTGCCTACTGGAACTTTAGGTACAGGGTTTAAGTGGGTGGAAGGGCTCTGTTGCTCTCAGGGGTACCAACTTGAATAAAATATTATGGGGGCCCTGCCCACATAATCCATCACATGATGCAGTGCCCACACACCATTTGAATGGGAATGCCCATCAACTTTGTGGGTGCCCGGCCCCCTCAAATATTTTATTGTAGGGGCTGAAGCCTCCATGGCCCCTAGGAGGTGGCTGGTATGGTTGCCCTAGTACAGTCTCGTCCATCTCTATAGCGACTGTGATCTACTCCAAGTATAATAAAACTGGCAGTGTCTACCCATTGTCATTGCCAAGAGTTGCTGAGCTTTTTTTTAATACAACGATGAATATCTCATGCAGCACTAAAGCGAACATTACTTCCAGTTGCCAACAATACCACTGTACACTGCTGAGGGGGCAGCGGAAAACGGAACTAGCGCCAGGGGAGGGGAAACGCAAGATTACTTGCCCAAGATTGCCCAGGATCAAGTAATCAACCTGCGACTGACCAGGGACACCCAGCGATTTACCTGTAGATCTCGATCGACCGGTTGGACTTGTCTGCCCTAGTACAACAAAACCACTTTTAAGAAATAATAATCTGACCCTCAGTGCTTTGGAGCCAGATGGATTTAAAAGTGTGGGAAGAATGAATGAATATTGGGAAGGCATGTGAACACCCCACAAGTGAATCAGGATAAAATGAAAGTGAATGCCGATTGTGATATAACCATCCCACGAACAAATGCTGACTAAAGGCTGGATATAATGTAACCTCCGTGTAAGCTTTGTGCAAGAGAATAAAAGAATGCTCTATAAATAAGTCATCTGGAGGGGCCTTCCATTGAGGCATGGTACTGTTGACTCTGATCACATGATTGCAACCACTGAAGTCTGAGCTAACACACCAGCCTCCTGCTAGCAGGAGGCATCATGCAAAAGGTGGTGAACTTTCATACACAAAATCCTGCTAGGCGTCCACAGAACTTCATGTTATACAGTAGCAGACAAATGACATGAACAAGACCTACATAATTTGTTGAAGCAGAACAGCAGAGATCATTCAGTTTGTAACTTAATGGTTAATTCTTTTCTCAGTAGGTCAGCTGATGGGGGAGGTGTTTCTTAGCAACCAGGTGGAGTGGCATGATGTTTGCTGACGTAACATGTCCCCCAATTGGCTATGTAGTTCTGAGGGACTCTTTCCTTTGTATGTTTGTTTGAATGTCTCCCTGCTATGCACCATGCCTGAGTTAAACAGGTAAAAACCGCTGTTCATTTCTCTTCAAATTATACATTGTTTTTGTTCGGTTTCCTCAGCAAAATCTTATAAGGATTTCTTGTATTGTGTTTTAATTTGCTAGAACCCACCCAGAGTAGCTGGGGTAACCCAGTCAGATGGGAGGCTTGTAAATAAATTATTATTATTATTATTATTATTATTATTATTATCTTTCTGGATTCCATCTGGATTGTTAACACACGGTTTGCTTCGTGATGTGATCGTGCTCTCCAAATTCCATCTCTTGTGAGGTAAAGCTGCCTAGACACCCTACTGGTGTTTTTCTACAGAGAAATGGTGCCACCATCATCCCTATCTTAATACTTTAGTCTGAAAATGTGGACAATCTAATTTGCAGTATTACAAAGTGGGAAAGTGACAGGCTTAAGTCAAGACTGGCCCCCTCCCTTCTGAGGTGAAGCCTCATTATTCATATGCAGCTTTCTAATACAGAGACATTTGTTGAGGGTTTCAAAGGAAATGGATGGGGGCCAAGACAGGATCACAGCTATCCCAGGATTCACACATATACACAGGGGGGAAATACTTAGCATATAGTTATGGTCATAAAATAACTAAGAGAAGAGGTACCTGCTGGATCAAACCAAAGGCCCATCTACTCCAACATGCTGTTCCCACAGTGATCAACTAGAAACCCCCATGCGAAGCCCACAAGCAGGTAAAAGGTAAAGGACCCCTGGACGGTTAAGTCCAGTCAAAGGCGACAATGGGGTTGTGGTGCTCATCCGGAGCCGGCGTTTGTCCACAGACAGCTTTCTGGGTCATGTGCCACCATGACTAAACCGCTTCTGGCACAAGGGGACACCATGACACAAACCAGAGTGCATGGAAATGCCGTTTACCTTCCCGCCACAGTGGTACCTATTTATCTACTTGCACTGGCATGCTTTCGAACTGCTAGGTTGGCAGGAGCTGGGACAGAGCAACGGGAGCTCACCCCATCATGGGGATTCGAACCGTGACCTTTCAATTGGCAAGCCCAAGAGGCTCAGTGGTTTAGACCACAGCACCTGTGTCTCCTCAGTTGCAATTCCCTGCAACTAGTACTCAGAGGCAACCTGCCTCAACAATGGAGGCAGAACTTGTACATGTTTACTCAGGATTACCCCCCCCACACTCCTTAAGTGTGCATAGGGCTGTGGCCCCAGGCATTTCAAAAAAAGTGCTCCATAAATCACACCTGAGTGATTATCTTATCGGGACTGGGGAAGAGGAACACATGCTGGAAGCCATTACTCCAGGGTAGGTAAATCTGTTTTACTCCAGGGTAGCTTCCTTTCTATTGCCAAGTTGCTGAAGTGATAGAACATAGTTGCCTCCTGGCAGATTCTCCCTCCCCTTTTGCTACCAACAGACGCAACAAAGAGTGAGCATTAACTTTGCCTGTAGGGAGTCCGCATCAAAAAAAGGAAACGCACAATGGCTGCAGTTGAAAGCTTGGTGAGGTTCTCTAAAGCTTTCTGTGCTTCAGAAGTAGGTAATTGTGCTGGGTTTTCACACAATCACATGCACAGAGATAACACATGTCGAAACCACTGTGTGTACAGATAATCCCCCTCCCAATGATGATTCTAAGTGGGGAGGGGAAGAGGACTGTAGTGAAGGCAGTAGGTATCTACAAAAACATACGAGGAAGGCAGCCACCACACTTCAGAGCACACATCTTACTTCAACTCACGGAACATGTCCTGCTTATTTCAAGCTTGGAATGCTTTGTTAACATCTGGGAGACCTCACCAGACTTCAAAGGAAAAGAGAGAGTGCAGGATTTAACATATAGGAGCATAGAATGCTGTCTTCTACTAAGTCAGATCATTGGGCCCACCTAGATCAGGAGTGAAGAAGATAATGGACTCCAGATGCTGGATTATAGCTCCCATCATCACTGACTATTTGTCATGGTGCCAGGGGCTGTTGGGGGCTTGCAGTCCAGCATCATCGGAAGGCCACAGCTTCCACACCTCTTGATGTACACCGACTCCCAATGGCTCTCCAGGGATTTAGATGCAAGTCTGAATCTGAATATGCCAAGGGCAGAACTGGGAACATTTGCAAGCAACACACGTGCTCTGTGATTGGGCTGCAGCCTCTTCTCAAAACACTGGAAGTTAAGAACATAAGATGAACCTGCAGGATCAGGTCAAAGGGGGTCCACCTAGTTCCTCATCAGTGCCCAACCAAATGCCCACAGAAAGCCCACAGGCAACAGCTATCTGAGTGGATAGCTCAGTTGGTTAGAGTGTGGCACTGATAATGGCAAGGCTGCAAGTTCGATTCTCATATGGGACAGCTGCATATTCCTACATTGCAGGGAGATGGACTATATCAATCTCAGGGTCCCTTCCAGCTCTGCAAGTCTATGATTCTGCCTCTGACTGTGAAAGTAGAATTTGTCCGATACTTTTTAAAAGCCATTCAAGTTGGTGGCCATCACTGCTTCTTGTAGGGGCAAATTCCATAACTTAACTATGCACCATGATGCCTTATAGTTGTCCTAAGCATTTATACCATTAGGACTATTTGTCCATATAGCCCCAGAATCGTTTACTCTGACTGGAAGCAGCCCTCCAGGCCCTCAGATAGGAACTTGTCCCATCACTTGCTATCTGATCTTTCAAGCAGCTGGTACCAGCGGTGGAACCTGGAGCCCTAGCCATGCATCTCTCTCACACACTGGCCTTTGGTTATCTTCCCAATTCACCCCCCATCATCCAGCAGATTCTTTGCACTGCAGCCTAAAGCCGGTCTAACCATAGCAGAGGTACAGATAAAAGAAAGCAAGTTCCTCTAGATTAGAAGGAGAAAAAGGAGGTGCACACCTACCATTGAGCTGTCTGTAGACAATGTCTTCGAGAAGTGACAGCCTTTTCAAAACTGCATCCTGAATGGGGTTTCCAGCACGGGCAGTCAAGTTGGACACTTCTGCCCTGGGGTGGATTTCGTGGAAGGAGCCCCCACTCTTCACGACGATGGGCCTGCACTTGGCCAGGAAGAGGACGAACCCAGCGACTGCAATCAAGTTTAAGACCAGCAGGACTTTCACTCTCCTCAGAGAAGCCATCAAAGAACTGCCCAAAGTGGGAGATGCAACTCAGGTGACTACTTGGGCAATAACCAAAGGAGAAGGGTGGAAGCAGAAGTCGGATGACCTGCTCTCTGGCTACTTTCACTAGGAGCAAGAGGAGGAGGAGGAAGGGAGGAGGTGAGAACACATTTCCCCATCAGCTTGTCCTTGTGGGCAGCCTCCCTCCTTTTCTTCCAGCTTGCACAGCTGGGCTATTCACAGCAAGGGGAAGCGACAAATGTTTGCAGGTGGCGATAATCTTGAAAGGCAGCTCAGATCAGCTCTGCCACTCCAGAAATAGGTGCACCTGCTCCTGGAAAGAAAGCCAACCATTGCTCTCTGCAGATCCCAGTGAAGCAGGGAGGTCTTGAAAATGTCCTTTGAGTTTCCAATCCCTATTGGAAGGAGATACCAGAAGACCTCTTCAGCAGCTGCCCCCACCCCCCTACTTGCCAGCAAGAGCCCCTTGACACTACTGGATTTCGGAAAGGCAAACAGCTCAGACTTGCATGAAAACTCTTGCAGAAGGAAACAATTCAACTTCGTTGCAGAGGCTTTGTACTCCTCCCGTGGTCTTTGAAATGGAACTTACTTGGCAGCAGAAGATCCAAGTGTCCCAAGGAAGGAGGCCCCAGGATTGTGGGTCAACCCTTGAGGTCCTTTAAAATAAAGCAATAGCTGGACAAGGAAGAACCTTATCCAATACAGCATCGGCTCAGTTCGCAAGGGACTCAAAGGTTGCAGGAAAAACAAATAAGAAACAGGGAGGAATGGCAAGAGAATACAATATAACTTTCACAGGGAGGGGGAGAGAGGGAGGGGAATCCTAAGTGGGGTTACTGGGACGCTTTCAGACCTTAGGAAGGGGGCCAGGTGGTGAGAGGGATGACATTCCCTCAAGAAAGGTTGTATCCTGTTCTCCAACAACTGGGGTGGGGGTAGGCAGAGGCGCACAGTCTCTCTCCAAAAAGGAGAAAGAGCAAACAAACACGCGTCTCTTCGCTTCTCTTTCCCAATACTTTAGGAACCTGGGTGGGAATTAAGGGCTCAAAAAAACCTAATTGTTAGGAAATGCGGAGCGGGGAAAGGGAAGAGGGAGGAAACGTGCAGACAGACAGTGACAAAAGACTTCGTAGGGAGGGGGAGGGAGAATCTGCAGAGAGACAGAAGAGGAGAGAAAGTGACTTTAACAAAGATACGGATAAAAGGAGGCGAAAGATGGAAGCAAAGGGCAGCAACCCCCCGTTCCCATTCCGCTTGGACCCCCTTCTGAGATGCTTTTAATTGGTCTTTAGGGCGCAGCGCCCGCAGCTAGAATGGGAATCGCCCGCGCTCTGGATGTGAAAGCGACATCGCGGGAAGGGGGGGGGGGGAGGCGGAAGCAGGTGTTGCTAATAATAGGACCCTCCGCCGCCTTTCTTCGCCTTCGCTCTCCCCTTCCCGGTCGCAGCCCCTCGCCGGCTGGCCAGACGCGCATTCCCTCTCCCGCCGAGTGGGGTTCGGTGCTGCGGCTACCCCCACCCCTTCCCGCGGCTCGCCTCCGGTGCGCAAAGGATGTATCTCTAAATGGTGGCGAGGCTGGAGAAGAGGATGTAGAGGAAGAGGAGGATGGGGGGGGCGGTACCCCGGGTAATCAGGTCATCGTGGCCTCCACGAAGCTGTTCCGAGGGATCTTCCGGGGCCCGAGCGAGGAGGAGGAGGAGGAGGAAGAGGAAGCAGCAGCAGCAGCAGCGATGGTGGTGATCGTGGCGGTCCCTGCGCGGCTGATGGTCCTTCGTTGCGCTCCCCGGCCGCAGCTTCCCATCGCAGCCGCCGTTGGAGCCATCCGCTTTCACTGTGCTCGGAGGAAAGGGGGAGAACAAAATCCCCCTTGCATGGCTCAAAGGAGGCGTTGCAAAGAAAACCTGGGCTGGGGAAAAGAAGGGGAATTGGCCACCGGTTCGCGATTGGAGGCCGGGCTTGGAAAATGATGCTTTCAAATGCTGCATGCAGGCAGAAAGAGAGGGGTTCTATGGAGGAGGTTTTAAACCGCCCCCCCCCCCGCACCTCTAGGAGTTAGGCTCTCTGAACACCACGACACAGGCGCACACCAGTTATTGCTGAAATCAATTCTATTCGCCCACACCTGCGGGTTGCCAACTTTTAAACCTGCCTGAGCAGCTTTCCTCTTAAGCACAGTTTAATCTGCAAATGCCCAGGTTTTAAAAACGCCCTGAAATGGTGACTAAAGCCCTGCTCCTTTGGATCGATCCAATCTCTCCTGCTAGGGGACCCAGCCTTTAGTGTGGCAAGCTCTGTCCTGTGGAACTCCTTGCCAGGAGAGGTTTTGGTAGGAATCATTCAACACCTCCTTTCAGACAGCTCCTAAAAACTTTGTGATACAGACAGGCCTCCGCAATGCGAATTTATTTTTAAAGCAACCAATATCTACTGAATCTTTCACCGATGCTTTTAATTGCAGTGTTCTGTGTTGTATACTGCCTTGCTGTATTTTTTTATGGAAGTGTGGCCTGCAAAGTGGTGCAGGGCCGGGTGGTGCTTTGTGAAGCTGGGAACATTCCAGCCTTGCAAAGCAGCTCGGGTCTAGCGTCGCTCCAGCGGTGTCGGTGGTAGGGCTGGGCTAACATGCAATGGGCTCCTTTCACCTTCTGCACTGCGCACACACACACACACACACCCCACACAGGTGAGCCCCGGGCACCATTAAAGCATGCTCTGCCACTCCATGGGAGTTGGATGCTCACCAGTGGTAGGTACTGCCAAGGCACAAAGAGGTTGGAGCAAAAATCAAAGTTGAGTGGAGCCATAAGAAGATCCTGCTGGCTAGTGGCCCATTTAGTCCACCATCTTCTCACAGTGCCCACAAGTGGGACAGGAGGGTAGCCATGTCCTCCCCACTTACGTTCCTCAGCAACTTATATTGTAGGCATCTTGACTCCGATCTTGGGGGTAATTTACAGAAGAAGAGCCTGCTGGATCAGGCCAATGTGGTGTAGTGGTTAAGAGTGGTAGACCCATAATCTGGGGAACCGGGATCGCATCTCCGCTCCTCCACATGCAGCTGCTGGGTGACCTTGGGCCAGTCACACTTCTCTGAAGTCTCTCAGCCCCACTCACCTCACAGAGTGTTTGTTGTGGGGGAGGAAGGGAAAGGAGATTGTTAGCCACTTTGAGACTCCTTAGGGCAGTGATAAAGTGGGATATCAAATCCAAACTCTTCTTCATCATCATCTAGTCCAGCATCCTGTTATCACAGTGGTCAACCAGATCTAGGAAACCCGTAAGCAGGACCTGAGCACAACAGCTCTCTCTGCTCCCGCAGTAACTGGAATGTAGAAGCGGGCTGCCTCCAACAGTGAAGACGGAGCATAGCTGGCAGGGATAGTAGATCTTGATAGTCATATCCACTGTGATAAACACTCATTCAGACATATTTACACATATTCACCCACACAAGCGCCACAAGTGAGGAGAGTAATGGGAGAAGAGAGACCTCTGCCATCATATTTAATCTTTTTCATGAAAAAAGAAAAAAAGTTTTTTTTTAAAAAAAGTTAAAACTACTTACATTATATATATAATTATATATTATTATATTTTATATATTGTATATTACACACACACACTTCCCAAGTGGTGCAGAAATCCATATAATATATGGATATAACATTATAATTATGTTATATTATATTATATTTGCCTTTGGTGGTGCTCTTTGCTGATTATATTCTAATACATTGTACACTATGGTGATACATTTTTATGACACTGTAGATATGCATAATAAAATAAAGACATGGCTGAAATACAAACCCATGTAAAAGTGGCCTTTCCCTAAAGTAGACAGTTTCCTCTAAAAAAAAAAAGGCCGAATTCCAGAAGTGGGTGGGGCAGAAGAGCTGCTTTCCCTTCTGTTCTGAAAGCCTAAGTGGTATGAATTGGTTAACTAGCAGGGAGTCTAGGGACAGAGTTTATGGATTTAATTTACGGCCTCTGCAAACTTTCTTCCAACAATCTGAGCACTGATGAACAACACATGTTTTAATGGGCTTCACCCAAGTCGGCATAATCGTCATGATTGTTGGAGTACAATCAATGTTCACTAGCCTTTACACATTCGCTAGAAGAAAACAGTGCCTTTCACTGAACTTTCTGTTCACTTACCAAATTTGATGGTGGGGGAACCTCCAAGAGCTACATCTCCCCCATTGCTCAGCATTTGGGGGGGTTGAAACTCCTGGCTCCTATAATCTGCTCCCCCTCCTGTCTCTCCTTGAACCAATCAGCAATGAATGGCAAGTCTGAATCTACATTCACTGTGCTTGTGCCCTTGAGTGCTCACCAAGGCAGCCAACCTAACCCATCCACTGACCTGCCCATAATGGAGTCAGCATAAACTCAGTTAGGATGCATGCCATACATTTGAACCAACCATCTCCCCCCTCCAAGAGAATCCTGGGAACTGTAGTCCCCCCCACAACAGAGCTAAAATCCCCAGCACACTCAACAACAAAAATTCCCAGGATTCTCTCCTGTGTGTGACTCTGCTCACCTGCTGACTACCAGATCAAAAAGCCCTTAGATTGGTAATAAAGAGATCACACCTTCCCCTCAAAAGACAAACAATTGTCACCTGTGGGAAGGAGGAATAGACAGTCAAATTCTATAATGTGCGAAATAAGATCCACTATTCACTGTGGTGAGCCTTGGGCTTGCCGACTGAAAGGTTGGAGGCTCGAATCCCCACAACGAGGGGAGCTTCCATTGCTCAGTCCCTGCTCCTGCCAACCTAACAGTTCAAAAGCACATCAAAGTGCAAGTAGATAAATAGGTACCACTCTGGCGGGAAGGTAAACGGTGTTTCTGAGCACTGCTCTGGTTTCACCAGAAGCGGCTTAGTCATACTGGCCACATGACCCGGAAAAACTGTCTGAGGACAAATGTTGGTTCCCTCAGCCAGTAAAGCAAGATGAGTGCCGCAACCCCAGAGTCGTTTGCGACTAGACTTAGCTGTCAGGGGTCCTTTACTTTTACCCATGGGTAGACAAACTAGACCCAGGGGCCGGATCAGGCCCAATCACCTTTAAATCTGGCCTGTGGACAGTCCAGGAATCAGCATGTTTTTACATGAGTAGAATGTGTCCTTTTATTTAAAATGCATCTCTGGGTTATTTGTGGGGCATAGGAATTCATTCATTCACCCCCCAAAAAATATAGTCTAGCCCCTCACAAGGTCTGAGGGACAGTGGACTGGCACCCTGCTGAAAAAGTTTGCTGACCCTGCCTTTACTTTTAAGATCCACTACCAACCAACAACAAGCCCTTTCCAGAGCCCCATCTGTCATATCTCAGATCAGACAATTACAAACTCTTGGCACCCAGGAAGATAGCTGCTCCAATGCCTTCTGAACTTTATGAGGCCCATCCCTTTGACCAAATCATTCTCATGAAAGTGGATCAATAACCCATTCAGGATAGCACCTCTGGCCAAAAGTTGACATGAAGTCAAAAGCCACACACACACACACACACACACACACACACCGTCATCCCTGAACATGCTGGCTGCAGCTGACGGAAACTGGAGTCCAACATTTGGAGAGTTACAGATTCTCCATCACTGCCCAACAGGGTTAAAAGAAAGGTAAGTGACCAAGAATCAAGTGAATTCTTTGGGATCTGAGCACTGATGCTTTTTTGGGGGGGGGCAGGGCGGTTAATGTTGGAGGAAGACTACCAAAGCTACTTTTAGAACAAAAATGCTTGAAATGTGGATATAAAAAAGACTTCAGCTTCCAGAACTGTCAGCCCCAACTCAATTCTGCTGCAGTAAAATGAGCTTAAAACTGTTCTAATCACATCCAGACTTGTTTATCTCACAAGAGCAGCCACGTGGCAGTCAAAGCACTGGGGACAATGCGAGTCTCTAACATATTTTTAACTGCATGGAATTTCTGGGGTGGGGAGAGGGGAGAACAGAAAAGAGCAAGCCTCTGAAACTTCCATATGGAAAGGGGAAAAAAAAACAACTGTTGAAGTTGGATGGCTTTGCCATATATGGCTCCAGCATTTCTGTTGCCACCTTTTTGATGGTGAAGTCGGACGGGGTGGTTCTCTCCACCTTGTGCACACATACTTTTCACGGTGAGTCTCCTCAAATATATCCTTTTAGCTGTACCAAAGTGACACAACACATCCTATAAATGGAATAAGTAATAACAAAAATTCTCATTCTTCCAGATGGCGTCTGCACTGGCCTAGATTTGCCAACTCCACACACACAAACCACAGCCAAGACTCCTGGCCTGTTTAGCAGATTGTGACAGATAGAATCCACCAGGTAAAGCTCTACTTGCTAAATCTCGAGCTTTCTCAAGCAGTCATGCAGTCCGGTCTAATCAATATTGACTGCTTGTAGGCACGGGCCATTGCAAACGCAGTAAAGTGCCTATTGGCACACACATAAAACACAAATAAATATACACACTGCTTTAAATGCAATCAGTTAAAAATTAAGCTTAAGACTTCTTGGAGTTACTCGTAGATTTGGTTTGCTCAGCTTAATGAGTCACCTATACAAACTGTGGACATTTGGTTCAAGATTCTCACCCATATTTTCTGTGTTGCAATTGCAAACAGTGCAGCTTGATAGAATTGACTCTCATATTCACTGGCGGGCAAGTAAATTAATATGGGTTGTATCCAGTGCAATTCTTACTCAGATTAGACTCAATGAAGATAATGGTCATGGCTAACTTGGGTACATTAATTTCAGTGGGTCTACTCTGAGTAACACTTATTTGATGAACCTCTGTTCTGTTTTGGCCATTGTGGCACAATTTCTTTCTAGGAAAGATATGCACCGGGCAATGCACAAAGTCCTCTATAAAACCTGCTTCTTTCAGGGATACAATGATACCTGTCACCCAAATACCTGTCACACAGTGGTACCTCGGTTTAAGAACTTAAT